TTAATAATTGTAATTTTATAGATCTAAATTATTAATTGTCATTTACAATGTTTGTTTTTTTCCAGCCATGAACCCAGCAGAAAGCATTGCTGATGTATGATTGAATATTGTACTAATATATAGTTTTGTTGTAATTTTGCTTTTAAAATAGTTTTGTCATTTATCATTTTATATATTTTTTGTTCAATTTAGCTACCGTCAGAACTGCTAAAACTGCTAGATTCTTGTAGATGTTGTGTATGAATGAGATGGAGCTGGTCTCACACTGTCACTAGTGTGCTGTGCAGAAAGTTTTATGACATTGTCCGCCATCAGGCTTTTTGAAGAAAACCTCACCTTTATTAAATAAACAACGAGTTTATATTTAGAATGTTTGTTGCATTCATTTTTTCAGTTTCTAATATCTTTTTCTTGTGTATGTATCATTGACTGGAAGTCTGTCGTTCCTGATGTGGAGTTCGAGCTCACCAGGTGTGATGGGTGTGGATGCATCTACTGGATACTGTGGCATCAGAAAAAAACTGAACGCGGCTGCTCAATGCATCGTGCCGAACGACAGTCGCATCACAGATCAGATTTAATTTCTCCAGTGTGGAGAGTGAGTTGAGCTGACCGACAAGAAGAGTGAGGTGAGACAGACAAGAAATTATTTAGTTTAGAAACGAAATGCAAAAGCACCTGTTTGGCAATATTTTGGATTTTGAAAAGCCTGTTGACTTTTGCCGTTTATCTAAGGTGATTTTGGAAGTTTTTTTTAAACATTTGTTTCTTATTTAATTGTTCCACAGTGTTTGCTGATTTTTACTTTATTTAAACTTTGTATAATTTATTTATTTTATTTGACATCAAGGTGTATGCCGTGCCTCCAAGCTTTCTTATTAGTTTTGCTTATAAACGTTCGTTCTTATTTATTTGGTTATATATTATACATGTTTACTTAGCCTATTTCCAGTTTTGTATACCTATTTAAACTTTATGTAAGTTATTTTATATTAGGCATAGCCTTCCCTATAGCATGGTGTATTTTTATTTGTTTTGTTAATAAAAGTTCTATGTTTTATCTATAGGCAAAAGTGAGTTTGACATTGTATTTTGTTGTTGCATTCAAGCAATTGACGCCGAATTGCCGCTAATTAATTAAGTGAAAGTAAAATGCACACGGCGCATTTAAGCTATTTAAAAGCGAAGGAAAAGAGGGAAAATTCAAACAAACAATTGCTTTACGCCGAATTGCCGCTTTTTGAAAGTGAAAGTAAAATGCACACGGCGCATTTAAGCTATTTAAAAGCGAAGGAAAAGAGGGAAAATTCAAACAAACAATTGCTTTACGCCGAATTGCCGCTTTTTGAAAGTGAAAGTAAAATGCACACGGCGCATTTAAGCTATTTAAAAGCGAAGGAAAAGAGGGAAAATTCAAACAAACAATTGCTTTACGCCGAATTGCCGCTTTTTGAAAGTGAAAGTAAAATGCACACGGCGCATTTAAGCTATTTAAAAGCGAAGGAAAAGAGGGAAAATTCAAACAAACAATTGCTTTACGCCGAATTGCCGCTTTTTGAAAGTGAAAGTAAAATGCTCACACCGCTTTTACAAGCTATTTAAAAGTGAAGGAAAGTAAGGAAAAGAGGAAACGCCCCGCCCCCGTGGTGATACCGGTATTACCGGTGTTGTCACACGTCGATTAACCGGTGGGAAAATTTCCTCACTGTCACAACCCTAGCCAGGACACACCAAGCCGACTTCAAAGAACTAGTCGTCTCGCGTCAGCAGCGTCGGACCAAAAAGCTGCGCTTGAACACATCGCACAGACTACAGCCGACGGCAAACTAACACGTGCGTTCTGCGCATGCGCGAGAGCATTTTACTGTCTATATCAGCAGCTATCAATAGTATATATTCGTCATTCAAAAGGAGAAACCGAAACAAAGATATACGAGTTAACGCAAATATACGAAATGTAAACAAAGCAGTGCTTGCTTACCATTTTGAATATCAGTAACGTTGATAACTTTAATCATTTTAAGCGGCTCATGTTGTTATGAAAACATTCGTGTATTAGAATGATTGGGAAAGATCACGTAACGTTTAACCAGCCTTCTGTCTGTACCGCCTTCATTTACATGCTTGTTTTCATCACTTTCGCTTTAATTCTCAGGCACTGACTCGTTTGCTAAACTGAACATCCAATCAGGGCTCTCACTCGCGCCGACGGTCCCGACGCCGAATCGGGCAAACTGCTGCCGACGAGAGCCGACAAGTGGAACACACCAAACAAACAAGCCCGACTGTCAGCTTGGTGTGTCCCGGCCTTTATGTTAATAAGTGCCGTCATTCGGTTATGTTTATTATATTAATGTTTCAGCACGTTACAATCATTATATGGCTTGAGTTAAGGTAGCCTATCTTCTTAATTAAACAGTTTATCACACAGATTGAAAGCGTGAATCCCGTCTCTCTCTGTTTATGGGTATTTGTGTGTGCATGCGGGGGAGGGGTGCAATTTTCGAATATTATTTTTGCTTGGAATGCCCATCTCTAGCATCTCATTACATGGTATGCAGGTCACCTGATAATGGTGCAGACGATATCAGTAAACAATGATTCTTTTCTTTTCAAATTGAGAAATACGCCATGCAGGCCTGTGGACAGACCACCATCTTTGGAGGCTCCATTGTTTATGCAATAAACAAATTGTCTTCCAAACAGGGGGAGCCTGGAGGAGTCCGGCCAGCCCCTGCAAGGGCCTCGGCTTCATTCTGGTTGCCAGGTGAATGGAGCAAGACCATCCCTGTGCAGGACCAGAGGTGGACTGCCAAGAGCATATTTCACTCTGGCAAGCTGTGCCCAGATTTTAAGCTTTGGTATGAGCCCCCTGTCCCAGCCCTCAGTTACCACCAGATACCAACAACTGGTTCTTCACCCATCGGCTGATGGTGCGGATGCCCTACCACCTTTGGAAGGTGAGGGTGTCCACTCCAGCTTGTGACAAGAACCTGATGGGCTATGGCATCCACAAGAGGGCTCGGAGGGTCCTGGACATTGACAGATACTATCTGATGGTGACAGAGACACTCGGTTGCATTGTGTGATCTGGCTGCCGTACATGTATGACTGAGACCATTTTTTTCAGGTTCTGTGCCATTTACCAGAGTCCCAAGAAAAAGGGGACTGGTACAGTGTTCAGATGGGATCTCATCCTGGAGGACTACAGGATAATTGAAACGATTGCACCTATTTCTTTCGGTGTGCTCCAGGGTTCCCTTCTTGGTTCGGAAAGAAGACAGGGGAGGTAAAATAGGCATGGGAAAATGAGACACAGTTGAGATCCATAATCTAATAAAGTAATCAGCATTCTCATGGGAACGCCGATTGCCACAATCCCAACACAGAAAGACAAGGGCAAATTAATACATGTACAATACAATACATTACAATAAATCCACAAGAGAAGATAGACAGACACCACAGCGTCGTGACTCCTGAACTCGTGGCTTCCGTAACACTGACCAAAAGCTGCTGGTCGGTAACCTCTCTGTTCAATTGGTTAATACTGCTGGTGTTTTAGGCCTTCCAGTGCTATCAGAAATCTTGGTATGATTTTCAATCTTTCTCTCACCTTTTATTTCTCACATTGACTAACTTGTCAAATCAGCCTGCTTGTACCTTCATAACATTGCTTGCCTTCATCCTACTCTAAATATCAAAGGTGCAGAAATTCTTGTACACAAGTCACCTCCCCGACTAGACTACTGGAACTCTCTTTGCTATGGCCTGCCCATCAAGATGATGAATATTCTTGGATATATTCTGAACTCAGCTGCTCAAGTTCTCATGGGTTTGGATTGTCATAAGAGTAAATAACGACAAAAGTTAAATTTTTTTAATACATTTAGCCATGATGGACTGGCCATTTGTCCATGGTGTTTGCCTGCCTTCGGCCCGAGATATGGGATCGGCTCCAGCAGCCCGCACAGCGTGGAGAATGAACTAATTCTTTAAAATACTTTCTCTAATATTTACTGTAATTAACAAGAAAAGGAAGGAAGACAAACTGCTTACGATTGTTTATTGCAGCAAATTATTTAGCAAGGAAACAGTATGTACATGTACATGCACGCTACTGGAAGCACAACAAAGAATAAACTGTGCTGATAACATTTAGACCTGCGCACAACTAGAATAATATTTCCATGCTTTTCCTGATCATAAATTTAAAGTTGCCTGGCAATTCCAGAGTTCTACAATCAGTAAACTTATCCAGATATGACAAAATTCAATTGAAATAGACTAAACGATAATCTAAAATACACCTACAATCTATGGGAACAAGTCATTTTGTTCGGTTTATATCAATTTATTGATAATCTTCAAGTTACATTGTTGCTTTTCCCAGCAAGGTACAAGTTTGACTCGTAAATTTTAATTTCAAAGGAAATCAACACATGGAATTGAGTGACATAACTCAAAATTTGAGGGAATCTACTGTAACGGTTCAATATTTGAAGCTACAGCAAAGATGATCAGGTACGGCCACAGGAGTACAAATGCACAAAAGAAAAGAAAATGCCTTATGGTGAAGCATAAAGAGATGAAGGATGCAAGTAAAAGAAGTAGTCTTTAGTAGGTAACAATCAGATGTAGTATTTTTTCTTGTCAAACTCTTGGGTCTCTGGGTCTCACATTTGCATGACTTTTCAGTGTGATGGCAAATTATTATTATATTATTACACTTGACTACAACTGAATTGTCTTCCAGAATGAATGCACATACGATTATAGAAATCTCTCCTTTTTCTAAACCACTTCCCACTACGGAAAATGGCCATTTCTTCTCAGAATGCGTTCGCAAATGGCGTTTCATGCTGCGTTGACATGTGAAACTCTTCTCACACTGAAGACACTTGTAAGGCTTCTCTCCAGTGTGAACTCTCATGTGAATCTTTGAGGTTATCTTCTCTTGAGCAACTCTTTCCACAGTGATGGCACATGCGAGGCTTTTCTCAGATGTGAATTTTAACATGATCCTGAAGGTGCTTCATGTCTGTGAAACTCCTTTCGCACTGATGACATTTAAAACCGTTCTCCGAGTGAATCTTCATGTGACTAATAAGGTTTGCATTATATCTGAAACTCTGTCCACACTGATCACATGTGAATGGATTCTCTCCAGTGTGAATTCTAATGTGAGTCTTTAGGTTTGTTTTATTCGTGAAACTCTTCCCACACTGAGGGCAGGTGAAAGGCTTGTCTCCAGTGTGAACTCTCACGTGGGCATTAAGGAGTTTTTCTTGTGTAAATCTCCTTCCACACTGTTGACATTCAAATTGCTTCTCTCCAGTGTGAATGCTCATGTGAGTCTGAAGGTTTTCTCTTAGTCGGAAACCCTTCCCACACCGAGGGCAGGTGAACGGCTTCTCTCCAGTGTGAATTACCATGTGGGCATCAAGGGTTCTTTTCTGTGTAAAACACTTTCCACACTGAGAGCATGTGAATGGATTCTTTTCCATGTGAATAATCATGTGAGTCTTAAGATATCTATTTAGTGTGAAACTCTTCTCACACAGTTTGCAGGTGAACGGCTTCTCTCCAGTGTGACTTCTCATGTGAACTTTAAGTTGACTATTTTGTGTGAAACTCTTTCCACACTGATTACACATGTAAGGTTTCTTTCCAGTGTGAATTATCATGTGAGTCTGAAGCTCTGCATTTCGTCTGAAACTGTTCCCACACTGATCACATGTGAAAGGCTTCTCTCCAGTGTGAATTCTCATGTGGACATTAAGTTGACTTTTCTGTGTGAAACTCTTTCCGCACAGTTTACAGGTGTGAAGTCTCTCTCCAGTGTGAATTTTCATGTGGGCATTAAGGTAATATTTCCGTGTAAAACTCTTTCCACACTGAGGGCATATGAACGGTTTCTTTTCAATGTGAATTTTCATGTGGACTTTAAGGCATCTTTTTTGATTGAAAACTTGTCCACACTGTTGGCAGGTGAAAGAGCTCTCTCCAGCGTGATTTCTTAAGTGGGAATTAAGGTTTGTAGTTTTTTTAGGTGAGGAAGTATTTTCAGTCTGTGAGCAGCCAATCGATTCTTCTTCAGTTTTGAAATCATGTTTCTCATTTTGATCTTTCTCTTGAGTTTCATTCAGTTCTTGACTCTCTTCTTTCAGTGCCATCGGGTCTGAGGTGAAATAAGAAAAATACAAGTTAACACCAGTTTAATGGCACAAAGCAACAGATATCAAAACATTTAGACTAGTGCGGTCAATCAATTAAAAAAAACAATAACTATGTGACAAACATAATTTCACATTCAATCTCCAAATTAATGTAAAGACAACAAATATTGTGAAATATGTGGTTTAAAGGCATCTTTTACCAAGTAGCCTATTGTTAATGAAGACCAGTCTCATTGATACAAATACTGCTACTTATCTGTCTCTATTAAATGCATTTGCCTCCCAATTTTAGCCATTAATTATAGCCATTATTACTGTATAATCAAAAAACATTATTTGTAACTTTTAAAAGGCTTTGGAAAATAGTGAACTTAAAACAATCTTCACGTAAAATGTATATGCATTAATAAAGATTAATTTATTCAATTAATAGTTAAAGTTAATAAGAGCAGTGAGTGATTTCTTTCTTTTCCTCTTTGACTTGCATCAATGTCAGACTGCAGCAGGTTTCATTTTAAAATCATAACTAGAATAATATTTCCATGCTTTTCCTGATCATAAATGTAAGTTGCCTGGTATTTCCAGAGTTCTACAATCAGTAAACTTATCCAGATATTACAACATTCAATTGAAATCGATTAAACAAGCTAAAATACACCTACAATCTATGGGAACAAGTCATTTTGTTCAGTTTATATCAATTTATTTGTAATCTTCCAGTTACATTGTTGCTTTTCCCAGCAAGGTACAAGTTTGACTAATATTTTGATTCAAAGGAAATCAATACATGGAATTGAGTGACATAACTCAAAATATGAGGGAATTTACTGTATGCATGCATAAGATTTAATATGAAGCATCCATAATATTCACATCTGTAACGCATTATTATGAAAGAATGGAAATGAACTGTTGATCATAATTAGAATGGCCATAAGTTGGATTTGTACAGAAACTTTCAAGTTAATTGCATTAATAATTACTATATGACATAAACTTAATCTTTCAAATGTTACGGACGTGTGACAGCGCGGAAGCTTCCAGACCTAATAAATCTAGCCCTTATAAATCCAAGAATCATCGCTGTTTAGACAAAGTGAATATATTCACTTTTCAGACAGGCCTCCATCTTGGTACAGAATACTTACTGTTGACATAAATTAAAAAATGGGCAGTCTTTGAGCTCTCATTTGAAAACATGAAATATAGTCGGATGAAAATGTAATTTTGCTTTAGGTGCACCCCCTCAATGTGGTGGATAAACATACAACTTCCTTCAAATTTTTATTTAAGCACATTAACGTTGTAAAATACAGACCTAAATGCACAAGTTAAACAAAGTTTTATTCTTTTGGTAAAAAAAAGATTTTTTCATGGTAAGGATGACTTTTGCATGGAATTGCCCAGGGGCAAGTGAAAGAAGAGAATTTTACTTGCCCGACCGGACAACTAATCCGATTAAAACATCTAATTGCACCTAAATTTTTGCGAGAATGGTTCTGATTTGATCACATTCGGTGTAAACGGCGATTGATAATGAATAATCAGTAACAAGGCCGCACCAGTTGAGGCTCACGCAGCCTGTCTGTGAGAGAATCTCGTGGAGAAATCAAAACAAATGAATGTAACTGTACACAGAATGTAACTTGGTTTTTAGATTTATAATACAGCCTAGTTAAGCAACATGACACGACCAAGAGAGTGAAGTTTTCCCTGAAAACCACGATTGCAAATTCCATTCATAAGGACAGGCACTTGCTTCATTCTTGAATGAATCAGCCGTCTGAACGAATCGTTTGAAGGCATGCTTCAATGACTCATTACGATTAATGAAACCGCCACCTACTGGCGGTTTACTTTCATAGTAGCCAATCTTTGCATTTTTTCCAACATTTCATATTTGTATATTGAAAATATATATATTTTAAAACAGAGTTCACAACATTATTTATCCTGTAATAATTTAGCATGCAGTGTAAATGCATTTGTGCTATATTTCAGCTACATTGAACTGTCTGTGTAAATGCATCTGAATGCCACTCCAGTCACTTCATATAAAACGTAATTTCCCAACAACAAAATGTTGGCCAGTGAGAATGCTGAGTGGCTAGTGAATTTGGAAAACCACTAGCCACAGTGACCGGTAAACAAAAACGTTAATGTCAAGCCCTGCATATGCATATATGTATATATACAGTATCTCTCAGAAGTGAGTACACCCCTCACATTTTTGTAAATATTTTATTATATCTTTTCATGTGACAACACTGAAGAAATTACACTTTGCTACAATGTAACGTAGTGAGTGTACAGCTTGTATAACAGTGTAAATTTGCTGACCCCTCAAAATAACTCAACACACAGCCATTAATGCCTAAACCGCTGGCCACAAAAGTGAGTACACCCCTAAGCGAAAATGTCCAAATTGGGCCCAATTAGCCATTTTCTCTCCCCGGTGTCATGTGACTCATTAGTGTTATAGTGTAATATATAGTGATATTCTCAAAGTTACTCAGAAGACAGGATACAGGTTTAACTCAATTGAAATACTAATGCTTAATGTTACACTGTCAGATATGCAAAAGAAATCTATCGTATCTCTTGCTCTGGCTACTGTGTATAGACCACCAGGGCCTATACAGTTTCAGCTGCTATCTCTCCCACCACCTCTACTCCGTGTGGTAAAATAAGGTGGTTTTTTCAGATTTTAATAAGGATCACATTCAGCTTTGAGAATGAAAACCAACCTGTTTGTTCCTCAGTATCTTCATGTTTGACTCTGAATGCTTCTTCAATCTTCACGTCTTCACTCTCTTCTTTAATAAACTCCATCTTTATAATAATGTCACGTGGATCTCAGCTTCTTCAGCAGTTTTTCTGTGTTTGGACACTTTGTCCTGTTTAGGACGAGAATAATTAACAAAGAAAAATAAATGCAAATTAAATCAGTGGGTGCGTCTCAATCAGCTCCTGAGTTCAGCGGTCAGTGCACTGGTGAGGGAGTCGGTCAGAGAGTTAATGCACTTACATTACCTGCACAAAAACTATCAAAACTAGCACTCAAATAATAAAGAGAACACAGATTATATAGAAGGTTCATATTTGTATTAAGATTGCTATTTAGTATTTGCTGATTTGTAGATTATATTTAATAGACCCCACTTTCATGAAAACATTTGCAGTTGTTTTGTAAAAGTTACACATTAGTGTTACTGTTTGTTGTCCTCGTTGCATTTACACTGTTTTGAGCGATTCGAAACAGTGAATCATTTTGTGAACTGTTTGATTCAGTTGATTCGGAGATTCGAAACAGTGAATCATTTTGTGAACTATTTGATTCAGTTGATTCGGAGATTCGAAACAGTGAATCATTTTGTGAACTATTTGATTCAGTTGATTCGGAGATTCGAAAAGATCCGTTTCTCCAGCACTAACGTTAGTAGCCAGTAACCGAGAACTCGTTTAAGATCAAATGATTCACTATACAGGGACAGCAGTGTCACTAGATGAAGCGTTAAAGTGTTACATTGGCGACACAATTCATTTCACAGTTTTAGATACAATTCTCTAAACGAGTTGTATTGATCTAAACACTTTTAAATGATTAAAAGCACACACCTTTCTTCAGTTGTGATGCATCTCAGACGCAGGAGCGCGGCGCGGCCTAATGACGTCCCATCGACACACCAAAATAAAAGTCTTGTTCACTAAAATCAATATAATTTTATATTAGAAAAAAAAATCTTTAATTAAAATGGTTTAAATAATTTCTTCTAAAATGTTAATGTCATTTACATTTTCCCTGATTATCTTTATTAAAACCGGCAGGTAGTATCAAATGTGATTATAATAAACAAGCCATCTATGTCAGATTTCAGTTACTGATTAACAAACATCATTTAACTTCCCATATCAGCCCTCTATGAATAACAAATGCAACGGAAATCAACAAATCTTGCCTTCTAAAGGGATTTGATGGAACTAATCAAATGCTCTACCATTGAAATCAATAAGATCCCAGCTAACAAAAAAAGGTCCCCAGGACGTCCCCTAAATGGC